CATAAAAACCACCAAGCGCGAATATATGCGCCTACGTGCTAGACACATTTAGTGCTTAAGCATTTATTTCAATGGCCTTAAAAAAATTTAATTCTGAGCAATTAAATAAACATCAAATGCTCCCGAACACGTCTAAAAAAACGCAACTTAGATTTGTTTTTCAGGCTGAATTTCTCCTGTTAGGAGAAACAGTGTTTAAAATAAACCACTGCGAATGAGGCCATACTGTTAAAATAAAAAGGGCAGTAGTATACCTTCTATGGGCCCCTTCCAATCATCATTTCAGAAGCCAAGCCTTGCCATGTACCTCCCAAGGTGAGAAGTCTTACAACCACTTTGGAACAGTGTGCCTTAGCAAAACAGATGAAAGGAGACAGTGGAAAAAAAATCTAGTTTCCAAGTTGACCTACTCTGGGAAAAAATTGCTAGTGGGATGATTTCTACAGATGTGCACTAAAACATATAAATAAAATAGGGAAGAATAAATACTGCCTGAGTTACAAACAGCTTCTCTTATCTGCTGTCAAGTAACGGTGCCTATGTGACATTTATCGGTGTTCATTGCTGCAAAAGAACTTCCAAGAACAAAAGACACCAAAATTCCTGAGGAGTTATTCAGCTGTGCTCTGTCATCTTCATGACAGACATGTGTCTATGCTGTGTTCTATTTTTATTTCCTGCACACTAATTACATGTCCCTGTGAGAATAAGTGCTGCAAATATACTGTACCCTGTCAGGATCATACACATAGTCCTCATCCTCAGCGCTGGCATTGGGATCTGAGGCAGCAAATAGCAGAATCTCTGTGATCCGAGTTCCTTCAGCTACAGGCAAAGCTGCCGCTATGTGGAGAGGAGTCAAGGAACCATACTGGAAAATAAAACATACAGTCATGATGCCACTTTGAAAACAATGCAGGACTCCTGAAAACAAGCTAATCAACCAAAAACAGCAATGTGCAGGCAATTGGGAATTACTCATTCAACAATCTGTCACACATTACAGTGTTGTAAAGAGAGGTGAAACAATGTAAAGATCGCTTTTTCTCTACTGCCACTGAAAATTATATTTCAATTTCTAGAGAAGAGAGTTGTATGGGACTTCCAACATTGCTCCTTTCCTATGTACTGCACATAATATAGAAAATGGCAGCACCGAGAATGATTTCAATATTCCATTGTAACATTATACAGTAAGCACACGTTTATAAAGTATTCCCTCTCTAGACCTCAGATGCAGATATATCTCAACACTCAGTGCTTGGCCAGTGCAAATTTATAAATTTATGTCATATATATACAGTTGTGTTCAAAATAATAGCAGTCAGACATCACTAACCTGATCAATCACTGTTTTTGGTAGAAATGATATTTCTACATGGCAAATAATTTACTAGCAGGTGTAGTAGAGTAATAGAAATCCAACAGACCCAACAGTCATGACATGCATGCTGCTGATTCTGTGTAATTGAATCACTAATTGAAAGGGGCATGTTCAAAATAATAGCAGTGTGGAGTTCTATTAGTGAGGTCATTCATTCTTTGAAAAACAGGTGGCAATTATTGCCCTTATTTAAGGAAGGAAGGCAGCAAATGTTGACCATGCTGGTTACAGTGCATTTCTCTCTGAAATTCTGAGGAAAATGGGTCGTTCCAGACATTGTTCAGAAGAACAGCATACCTTGATTAAAAAGTTGATTGGAGAGGGGAAAACATATACAGAAGAGCAGAAAAATGATAGGCTGCTCAGCTAAAACGATCGCAAATGCTTTAAAATGGCTGAATGGATAGAAGAATAGCCAAATGGCAAGGACTCAGCCAACAATCAGCTCCAGGAAGATCAAAGAAGGTCTAAAGTTACCTGTGAGTACTGTTACAATTAGAAGACGCCTATGTGAAGCCAAGCTATCTGCAAGAAGCCCCCACAAAGTCCCACTGTTGAAAAAAAGACGTGCTGAAGAGGTTACAATCTGCCAAAGAGCACATTGACTGGCCTAAAGAGAAATGGCGCAACATTTTGTGGACTGATGAAAGAAAGATTGTTCTTTTTGGGTCTAGTGGCCGGAGACAGTTTGTCAGATGACCCCCAAACATTGAATTCAAGCCACAGTACATTGTGAAGACAGTGAAACATGGTTGCGCAAGCATCATGATATGGGGATGTTTCTCATACTACGGTGTTGGGCTTAGTTATCCCATACCAGGGATCATGGATCAGTTTGAATACATCAGAATACTTGAAGAGGTCATGCTGCCTTATGATGAAGAGGAAATGCCCTTGAAATGGGTGTTCCAACAAGACAACGACCCCAAACACACCAGTAAACGTGCAACATCTTGGTTCCAGACCAACAAGATTGACATTATGGAGTGGCCAGCCCAATCCCCGGATCTTAATCCAATAGAAAACGTGTGGGGTGACATCAAAAATGCAGTTTCTGAGGCAAAACCAAGAAATTGAAAAGAATTGTGGAATGTAGTCCAATCATCCTGGGCTGGAATACCTGTTCAAAGGTGCCAGAAGTTGGTTGACTCCATGCAACACAGATGTACAGCAGTTCTCAGAAACAGTGCTTATACAACTAAATATTAATTAAGTGATTCAAAGGAAAGCAAAATCTTCAAACATTTTTCAGTTTATATAGTGAATGTTTGAGTTTTAAAGAAGAATACAAACACTGCTATTTTTTTTAACAGACTAATATTCACTTTTCTTCAATTTCTTTAGAGGAATAACACAAATTTGATATATTTTTCTTCATGTTTTGATTTGGAATAGAATGTGTAGTGTTCCCAATGCATTTGTGTGTATGGAAATAAAAGCTATTAGAAGGATTTTGAGCTTTATTCACTTTTTTCAACACACTGCTATTATTTAAACACAACTGTATATAAATATGTATATATATATATTAAAAAAACACACTATCTCTCGACCCCTCGCCTCACCCCTTCAGTCTCCGCCCGAATCACTAGCCTACTGAACAACATAGCAGATTGAATGTCGCTCCACTTCCTTAAACTGAACCTCTCCAAAACCTAGCTCTTAGTTTTCCCCCCAGCACGCGCCCCCCCCCCCCCCCCACTGACTTCTCCATCACGTCCAACAATGCCACCTTTAGGCCTACCCCGCAAGCCAGAGTACTTGGTGTCATTCTAGACTCCAATCTATCCTTCCAGCCCCAATTCCAATCGTTAACAAACTCATGCAGACTCCACCTCCGCAACATCGCCAAAATACGCCCATTCCTAACCCCAGAAGCCACTAAACAGCTCATCCACTCCCTCATCATATCACGACTCGATTACTGCAACTCCTGCCTCACCACAGGCTATCCCCGCTTCAGTCGATCCTGAATACGGCGGCCAGACTCATCCACCTTACCAACCGCTCCGTTTCCGCCACCCCCCTCTGCCAATCCCTCCACTGGCTTCCGATTGCCCAACGCATAAAATTCAAAATGCTAACACTGTTCAAAGCTGTCCATAATTCTGCCCCAAACTACATCACCGACCTAATATCCAAATACCACCCAAAACGAACTCTCCGCTCCTCACAAGACCTCCTTCTCTCTAGTTCCCTGGTCTCCTCCTCCCATGCCTGCCTCCAGGACTTCTCCAGGGCATCACCCATCCCCTGGAACTCCCTGCCCCAATCCATCAGACTGTCACCTACTCTCCTCTCCTTTAGGCGCACCCTGAAAACCCACCTCTTCAGGGAAGCCTACCCTGCCTTCTGCTAATTGCCGATCTCCTCCATTCTTCCTACCACTCCATCCTCCACAGCTTTTCCTCCCGAACCACTATCCCCTTCCTCCTAGATTGTAAGCTCCAAGGAGCAGGGCCCTCTAACCCCTCGTGTATCGCACTGTATTGTTTTTGTACTGTCTCATGTATTGTCTCCCATTGTAATGTACAGTGCTGAGTGAACTGTTGGCGCTATATAAATACTGTATAATAATAATTATATATATATATATATATATATATATATATATATATATATATATACACACACATACATATATATATACACACACACACACTATATTGCCAAAAGTATTGGGACACCTGCCTTTATGCATACATGAACTTTAATGACATTCCAGTCATAGTCTGTAGGGTTCAATATTGAGTTGGCCCACCCATTGCAGCTATAACAGCTTCAACACTTCTGGGAAGGCTGTCCCATAAGGTTTAGGAGTGTGTCTATGGGAATGTTTAACCATTCTTCCGTCAAACTTTACACTTGGCACAATGCAGTCTGCAAGGTATGTTTGACCATTCTTCCAGAAGCGCATTTGTGAGGTCAGGTACTGATGTTGGACGAGAAGGCCTGGCTCACAGTCTCCGCTATAATTCATCTCAAAAGTGTTCTATCAGGTTAAGGTCAGGACCCTGTGCAGGCCAGTCAAGTTCCTCCACCAAAACTCACTCATCCATGTCTTTATGGACCTTGCTTTGTGCACTGGTGCGCAGTCATGTTGGAACATGAAGGGGCCATCCCCAAACCGTTCCCACAAAGTTGGGAGCTTGAAATTGTCCAAAATGTCTTGGTATGCTGAAGTCTTAAGAGTCTTCTTCACGGGAACTAAGGGGCCAAGTCCAAACCCTGAAAAACAACCCCAAAGCATAATCCCCCCTCCACCAAATTTTACACTTGGCACAATGCAGTCAGGCAACTACTGTTCTCCTGGCAACTGCCAAACCCAGACATGTCCATCGGATTGCCAGACAGAGAAGTGTGATTTTTCACTCTAGAGAACATTCTCCACTGCTCTAGAGTCCAGTGGCGGCATGCTTTACACTACTGCATCCGACATTTTGCATTGCACTAGATGATGTAAGGCTTGGAAGCAGCTGCTCGCCATGGAAACCCATTCCATGAAGCTCTCTACACACTGTTGTGCTAATCTGAAGGCCACACGAAGTTTGGAGGTATTTAGCTATTAACTCTGCAGACAGTTGGAGACTTCTGTGTACTGTGAGCTTCAGCATGCGCTGACTCCGCTCTGTCATTTTATGTGGCCTACCACTTCATGGCTGAGTTGCTGTTGTTCCCAGTTGCTTCCACTTTGTTATATTGCACAGGTGGCAAACTATTATGGTACCATGCTTGAATTCACTGAGCTCCTGAGAGTGACCCATTCTTTCACAAATGTTTGTAGAAGCAGTCTGCATGCCTAGGTGCTTGATTTTATACACCATGGAGGTAATTGGAACACCTGAATCCAATGATGTGGAGGGGTGTCCCAATACTTTTGGAAAAATATATATATATATATATATATATACATACATACATACATACATACATACATACATACACACACACACACATATATATATATATATATATATTGTGGGGATAGCTCAGGTGGGGGATCTCCTTCCCTGGGAAAAAAGGTAGACCGTACAGCAGGCTTTCGTCAAAATCTGACTGGTTGTCAGTTTTATTTAAAAAGGTTTGCAGAAAATATCAAAATAAAACAAAACATCAAAATAAACCCTCGCCACCCAGGCACTAACTAAACAGAAGATGTTCCTCTCTCAGAGGTGAAGGGCTTCTCCCTGTCACCAAAAACAAAACAAACGCAAACCTTTTCTTGTAGGTATAGTCCATACACACACCTCTCTCAGAATACCTCTCTGAGTCCCAGGCCACAAGCGACTCCTTGCTCCAGCCCTGCCCTTTTTATACCACCTGTTGGTGGTCATCAGTGGAGCCCAAACTCTGGTCCGAACCCACCTGCTTAACTGTGGCCCCGAAAACCCAGAGTGGACTCCACCTAAACTGTCAGGTATGAGCATATGCGAGGTGACACATAGCGTCCCTCTATCACCTCGCCGTTCATCCTGTCACAATATATATATATATATATATATATATATATATATATATATACACACACACATACATACATACACACACACACGCAGACTATATTACCAAAAGTATTGGGACGCCTGCCTTTACACGCACATGAACTTTAATGGCATTTCAAACCTAGTCTGTAGGGTTCAATATTGAGTTGGCCCACCCTTTGCAGCTATAACAGCTTCAACTCTTCTGGGAAGGCTGCCCACAAGGTTTAGGAGTGTGTCTACTGGAATGTTTAACCATTCTTCCATCAAACTTCCATCAAACTTTACACTTGGCACAATGCAGTCTGGAAGGTACCGTTCTCCTGGCAACTGCCAAACCCAGACACATCCATTGGATTGTCTGACAGAGAAGCGTGATTCGTCACTCAGGAGAGCACGTCTCCACTGCTCTAGAGTCCATCGGTGGCGTGGTTTACACCACTGCATCTGAAGCTTTGTATTGTACTTCGTGAACGAGTCTTGGAAGCAGCTGCTCGGCCATGGAAACCCATTCCATGGAGCTCTCTACCCACTATTGTGCTAATCGCACTGTGCGCTTCAGCATGCGCTGACCCCGCTCTATCATTTTACATGGCCTACCATTTCGTGGCTGTTGTTCCCAGTTGCTTTCATTTTGTTATAATACCACAAACAGTTGACCATGGCATATTTAGTAACAAGGAAATTTCAGGCATGGACTCTTTGCACAAGTGGCGACCTATGACGGTACCACACTTGAATTCACTGAGTTCCTGAGAGCGACCCACTCTTTCTCAAATGTTTGTAGAAGCAGTCTCAATGCCTAGGTGCTTGATTTATACAACTGTGGCAATGGAGATGATTGGAACACCTGAATCCAATGATTTGGAGGTGTGTCCCAGTGCGTTTGACAATATAGTGTACATATATACACTTCTCAAAAAAATGAAAGGAACGCTTTTTAATCAGAGTATAGCATCAAGCCAATTAAACTCCTGGGATATTGATCTGGTTAGTTAAGTAGCAGAGGGGGTTGTTAATCAGTTTCAGCTGCTTTGGTGTTAATGAAATTAACAACAGGTGAACTAGATGGGCAACAATGAGACAACCGCCAAAACAGGAATGATTTTACAGGTGGAGGCCATTGCCATTTTTTCCCCTACTCATCTTTTCTGACTGTTTTTCACTAGTTTTGCATTTGGCTAGGGTCAGTGTCACTACTGGTAGCATGAGATGATACCTGGGCCCTACAGAGGTTGCACAGGCAGTCCAACATCTCCAGGATGGCACATCAATACATGCCATTGTCAGAAGGTTTGCTGTGTCTCCCAGCACAGTCTCAAGAGCATGGAGGAGATTCCAGGAGACAGGCAGTTACTCTAGGAGAGCTGGATAGGGCCATAGAAGGTAATTAACCCATCAGCAGGACCAATATTTGCTCCTTTGTTTAAGGAGGAACATGATGAGCACTGCCAGAGCCCTACAAAATTACCTCCAGCAGGCCATTGATGTGAATGTCTGTGACCAAACAATCAGAAATGGATTTTATGAAGGTGGCCTGAGGGCCTGACGTCCTCTAGTGGGTCCTGTATTCACTGCCTGGCACCATGGAGATCAATTGGCATTTACCATTGAACACCAGAACTGGTAGGTCCGCCACTGGCACCCTGTGCTTTCACAGATGAGAGGCGGTTCACCCTGAGCGCATGTGACATGTGAAAGGGTCTGCAGAAGCCATAGAGAATGTTATGCTGCCTCTAACATCATTCAGCATGACCGTTTTGGTGGTGGGTCAGTGATAGTCTGGGGAGGCATATCCATGGAGGGATGCACAGATCTCTACAGGCTAGACAATGGCACCGTGACTGCCATTAGGTATCGAGATGAAATCCTTGGATCCACTGTCAGACCCTACGCTAGTGCAGTGGGTCCTTGGTTCCTCCTGGTGCATGACAATGCCCGACCTCATGTGGCGAGAGTATGCAGGCAGTTTCTGGAGGATGAAGGAATTGCTACCATTGAATGGCCACCACGCTCGCCTGACCTAAATCCAATAGAACACCTCTGGGATATCATGTTTCGATCCATCCAATGCTGCCAGGTTGCACCTCAGACTGTCCAAGAACTCAGTGATGCCCTGGTCCAGATCTGGAAGGAAATACCCCAGGACACCATCTGTCATCTCATTAGGAGAATGCCCCGACATGGTCAGGTATGCATACAAGCACATGGGGGCCATACAAACTACTGAGTACCATTTTGAGTTACTGCAATGAAATTTCAGCAAAATTGACTAGCCTGCTGCATAATTTTTTCACTTTGATTTCGGGGTGTCTCTGAATTCAGTCCTCTGTAAGTTGATCATTTTCATTTCCATGAAATGATGGGGCATCCTTATGTTCCTAACACATTACCCAGTCCATATCAGTATAGATATCCAGCATGGTATTTTTCCCATTCAGATCTGATGTGTTTCCAAAGTGTTTCTTTCATATATATATATATATATATATATATATATATATATATATATATATATATATATTTATTTATTATTTTTTTTTAAATCAATTTTGTTTGAAGTTCAGAAATAAAAAAGTACATTATTTAAAAAATATATTTTTACTAAAATATATAAAATATTGCTCGCTCTCTGCAGAAAACGTGTAATACATTGTAATTCCTGTGTCATGGGTGCACCAGAACAAACATGTATAAAACTAACACTAAACAAAGTTAATATATATACTGTTTAGACAGACATTACCAAAAGTTTCCATACATAGGAAAAATTAACAAACTCATATTATGAATGGAGGAGAAGACTTTGTCTTTTGTGTGTGTAGAAAGAGGTGGCCAACATAAAAGAGAGTATTTTGTAAATAAAGGCACATTTAGCTACAATTTCCCATTTTCCCTAAGTATGGCAACTTTTGCATGTTCAAACACCATTTAATGATAAAAGACTACCTTTAAAAACAGGGCAAAATGATAAAGCATCTGATCCCATAATCAAATTAATAAAAATCCATTTTTATGATGGCGTTGTGAGTTATATTCTATGGCTAATGAAGACAAAGTCATTTTTCTGTCTTCTGTGACATGCATTGATCTAGGATTCATGGAGCTGGCAGCTAAATCCAACAGTGTAATTATAAAAGGAAATTACAAAGCATGCCTTCATGTGATTAGGTGGAAGCCTGATCACTGCCATCATTCTGGTTAACATTGTGCAAATATGATTCCCAAGCTAATTATTTTAGTTCTACAGAAAGTAAATGTTTTATAAGAAGTTGTTTGTTCTACAAAATCTCTTATTGAGCAATATTAGGCCAAGTACATTACCGGTGTCGACAGACGGATATCAGTTCTTGCTCCACATTCCAGCAGTAACTGTACAGTATCGGCATCTGCAGCTCTGACTGCAAAGAACAGAGGATGCATGGGGATGGAGCCCATATCCGGGTCAGCACCTCGCAGGAGAAGCAGGTTGATGGTAGATCTTAGGTTTTTATCCCTACATCAATGAATATCATTGTTATTAGACCACTCTTGAGAAAAAAATGTGTACCTGGAACTATGTGCTAAATGTACCTAACATGAAACTGCTAGTCTCAAAGAGTGTCTGTATCTTTAACCCACTTGGGAATAAACGTTCCTGTTGTGGACATTTTGGTTAACAAGGTCCCCTGTGACATAACTCCCAGCATTCTAGAAAATTTCACATCTACTTCCATGTGACCAAATAAATGCAATATTGGCCGTTATGTGTACGGCTAATCTCTCAGTAGAGTAAATCGGAAACCAATGCTCGATTCCTAAAGCTAAAATGTATCATAAACACTTTCCCCAGTATAATCAAATAGTCTTATAGCCCCTGTAAATGTGGAAATCAAAACACATTATAGTTTCCACATGTGAATCCTTCTTCAGATTTTTTTTATCTTCCACTTGATTCTATGCCCCAAGTGTGAATAAACTCTCACCAGATATCCTGACCATTATGTATCAATGAGTGTAATGCCTACGAAATGTGTTGACCTTGGACCCTTTCTTTCTTGGGTAATTTTTACAATAAAGCATTGTCGCCCAAATGTCGGGCATGAGAAGTGATGATGTCATTTCTTTAGCCAAAGGAACAGAGTCACAAGATATTCTGCTGAGAGCAAGGTAAAACCTTGTTTATGGAATGAACCGTGTTTATGACATCTAGTATCCACACAATAGGAGATAAAAACCTGATTGAGGACATTTAAGTTAGAAATCCTTAAGTTTGGGGGAGATGAAAAAGAGGTTTTGGGGTTTATAAGGTGAAGATCCGGGCAAGACCAGTGGAAGCTCCCCTAGTGGCCAGAGGATGCTCTGACGCTGGGATTTTTACCAAGGCTATATGGGCTCATCAACTGGTCATGTCTATGGCTTCTACGTGACCCCCTGGGCAGTTTTGTACCAATGGGATTTGTGCCTCCCACCTTCCACATAGCTTCGGTAATGTATTAATTCTATGCTGTGACGCTGTCAAATGATGTGTTTATTTCATGCTGTAATGCTCACATTATTATTATTGGTGTGTGTTATTATGCAGATTGTGATGAACATAAGATATATGCTCCTCTGTGTCGTGTGATGATAAAAGTGGAGGTTTTGACAGTGCAAGGATATTGCAGTTGGATTCTGTTATTTCTTGGAGTGCCGGGTGAATGCTATGATGTGCTAGAACAGGTATTCATTGGGTAGTTGGTCTTTCATAATGCATAGAACATGCAATGGTTTAAAAGCTGATTAAAAGTACCTGCACGACTGCATGTTGATTGTGTGCATGTATATGACTTGTTTTTAGTAATTGCACCCAGCATCACTATTACATTGGGTCAAATCAGGCTTGATGCAAATATCTTTATCGCCTGCAGACATATCCCAAGATATTCCACTGTCCTTATGACACTCACAGCAACTCTTCCAAAAACCAAAAATACCACATCCATATTGTAGCATATCATATTAACCAGTGTAATACAAAACAAATATGCTTACATTACTTATAAAGATATTGTTCCCAAACTAGTGCTACATTTGCTTGTGCAAATCCACTCCACAACCACCACCATGCTGGAACCCCATGTAGATGGATTCTCAGAAGAATCTGCGACCCCTGGTTCTCCCAGGCTCCAAACAGCCTCAATATATGTGGACACAACCACCACTTGCTCACTGCCTGTGCTACAACAAACTCACACTCGGGGCATGTAAAAAAAGGGAAGATATGAGATTTGAAGAATTCACATGTTGTGGGGATTATAATGTGTTTTTTGATTTTTCAAATTTACACGGACTGTAAAACTATTTGACTATACTAGGGAAAGTGATTATAGTATGTTTTAGCTTTAGGAACAGCACAGTGGCTAAATGGTTAGCACTTCCGCCTGGCAGTACTCGGGTTGTTGGTTCGAATCCCCACCATGGCACCACCTGCCTGGAGTTTGCATGTTCTCCCTGTGTTTGCATGGGTTTCCTCCAGGTACTCCAGTTTCCTCCCACACTCCAAAGACATGCTGGTAGGTAAATTGGCTGTAGTATGTGTATTTATGAATGTGTGTTAGGGACCTTAGATTTTACGCCCCTTTAGGGTTAGGGACTGACGTGAATGTACAACATATATGTAAAGCGCTGCATAAATTGACGGCGCTATATAAGTACCTGAAATAAATAAATAATAGGAACAGAGCTCTGGTTTCTGATTCACTCTGTTATTATTAACCAGGGGGATAGGATACTTCCAGCTGCTAGAGATAAGAAAATTTGGAGTTGGGGATGGCGCCTGAAGCGCCGGGTAATTGATAGTTTTAAATCTCTCAGTAGTCTAGCTAGTCAGTAACAGCATACAGCCAATTAAT